TCATAGGCAGCCTCTGCAAAGGGATCTTCAAGAACTCCTAAAGAGAAAAATGGAAAGGGCTTCTTGCATTGCACATCAGTCTGCTAGTATAAGAAAAGGCCCAAAAGGAGCCTCTGGGTACAAGTGACAGTGGGGAACTCACTTAAAGTTGGTGGCATTGTGACAGTGTTCATGGAGACAGGTCAGGCTCAAAAATGCCATTGAAAGCAACACAGGAGAAAAAAGATTAAATCACAGTTTTTGTATATGCTGGATTGTCCAACCCTCTCCTGGGATGAAATTTGTTGTGTAAATTAAATGCACAGAAAACATAATAAGGATTGTTTTAGAATATGAATTTAAGAAATGCTCCAAAACTAGGAAAGATAAAATAACATTACAGGTATAGAAATATATTTTAATATGGAAAATTAGAATAAAAGAAATGTTATGTTGCTTAGTGACAAATATTTTGTCTTGTAAAGCAATATTCTTGTGCTAATGTCCGAGATTAAAGATGACAAAACTAAGGAGGTAATGTTGTGAATGTCTAAGTAAGTTGCAGAAAGTTTGGGGAAGGTAAATCTCAAAAATTTTTTGTATGTGATTAAATTGGCTAAAATTTATCTATCAAGATAATTTTCTTCTTTTTCTTTGGTTTTATGACTTGTGGAAACTAAGTGTTAAAGTAATTAGGGTTTGCACCTGTTTGAAAGTCTGAAATTATTACTTTGTAACTGGTTAAACAAACAACTGTTGCTTAAACCTAACAATATACAGGACACTCTGAATTTATGTGACTGTGTATATAAATGGGTCTGTAAACTATAGCTGTCTAAGCCTTGTCTATGTGTTACATAAAAGTTTATAAAATGAAAGTGTGTATAAATTTACTGGCAAGATAACCACTAAGTGCTCTCTTTTATACATTGTAATTTACGTTGAAAGGCCATGCTCTCAATTGAAGGCCTGTCTTACATATGTTTGCTTTGAGTAAGTCAATTTCTTATCATTCACCCCGTTTCCTAAATGTAAAAGATTTTACATTTATATTTTCCTAAATACAAAAGATTTTATACGTTTATATCTATAAAAGATTTAAGTCTCTTGATTTTGTTAATCCATGCAGACCTGTGATTACTGTTACCATATACTCTGGACTCCAAATTGCACTTTAAATGTTACACTTAGTTAAATAGAAAGCTTTGCCAAGTTGGTGTTCTCCAAACTAAAATTATGTGTAGCAAAATCTCTGATTTGTATAAAAATAACAAATTTGGTTGGTATTTGTTCATGTCATTTGAGGTTTTATAGCTGGTTCAAGTAACCTGTTGTCAATAAGTTACATATAAGTTGCATAAAGTAAATCTTCACACAGCAATTGGAATTTAAATGCACTTTGGGGAGCTAATAAGGAGAGCCTGATCTTTTTAAAGGTGAAATTTTAAAACATGGAAGCATTTTGCCACTTTTTCCACAAAAGAAAGTTAAAAGCTCTCTTAGCCTTTGTTTGATTGATGTTTCAGATGTACTGTTGTATTGTGTTATGTGTCAGAGGCCCCACCTTACCTGAGATCAAATTCTGCCTCCCACCTTACTACATGTTAGAATGGCTCCAAAATAGACTAGACTTGAGAACATTTAGAGTTATGATAGGTGGGGTTGTCTGGAATTTGAAGATAGCTCCAATCTGGTAGGTGCTGGACTGGTTGGCTGGGCAAGGTGATAGCAAGGTGCCCTCACACCCTCTTCTAACCTTCTGACCTGATGTAGCCAGCCCCATCTATCCCCATGTCCTGCCCACATCCCGCCCAGTTGATTGAAATGAGTTGCTCTTGGTGGAATGGCTGGATGCAGAATAAAAGCTAAGAAAAAGAAAGTGATAAAACCACAAGACGGAGAAAGTAATTTTGAAAAGCGGGGGCGGGGTGTGCTAGCCGATCTTAGGGATCAATCTTTCACACTAACATGAGCAACATGGAGCCTGCACTTGCTTTATTTATATCAGGGAACATCAAAGGTTTTCCATGGAATGTTCTTTGCCAAAAAAGGTAGGAGGTGGGCTGTCAAGTTCCCAATAGGTTATGCCCAACTCCAGAGCTATGAGGGGTCTCCCTAGTAGAGCAGAGATAGAGGTCATGGGTTTGGGCAATCTAATACAGGGGGTGGTGGTGGGGGAGTCAGTATAGTTCCCAAGGGAAAACATAAATCTCCATGGCTCGACAACAAATAAAGACCCTCAAGTAATTTGCGGGTAGCTCCCCGCACCAACACACATCAGGACTAATGGAACCAGTGAGCCTAGCTCTCTCCAGCATCTCTAACCAATGCTTCCCCCAGGCAAAATGCCCCCAGTCTGAATGTTCACAGGATTGCCTGGCCATGAACAACCCATGCAGACCCACTCACTATCTGACAGATAAGGACGTAAGATGCCCCAGTCTCAGCCATGTTGCAGTCCCAGGATCTCAATGGCATTCCACCTTGCAGAGAGACCATGAGACATGTGCACAAATGAGTGACCTTGCAAAGAAGCGGCAAAATGGTGGCCACCAGCACTCTCAGCAGGAGGACCATAGGGCAGCCAAAACCTAGGCACCCTGACACTAGACCTCAGGCCCTGGGTGGTGTTCTCAGGCAGAATTGGCTGCACTGAGATGGTGGTAGCAGCAAACCTGCAAGCACCCTGGCCCACAAGGCCCTGGCCACTGTCCCAAGATGGAGAGGGCTGTGTGCAACCAACCCTGCAGGCAACTTGGCAATGGACCTCTGGGCGACAGTGGTGGCAGTGGCACCCTGAGAGTCCCCACTGATTCTTACCACTGTCACCACTACTGTGCAACACAATTTCCAAGGGAAACTCTGGAATCCTTGAAGGGCTCTGACATTACTCTAATCCTGAGACCAGACCTCAGAGAGGGAACTGCAGTCCCTGAATTGGGACACCAAAAGTCAATGGGAATCATTTGATGGCACTCAAGCTGCAGAGCAAAGGGACTACTGTAATGGGCAGGAGAGTCAAAACAGCAAACAGAATAGTCTGACTCCTGCAGCCTAAGAATGTGAGTTCATGGTGTTCCTGGAAGTGAAAGATATGAGGGGTTTACTAAATCCTCACTGGATCTGAGTAAACAGAAGAGTTTAAGACCAAGGGGGAAGGTCTAACTGGAATAATAAAAACAGCTGTATTACCTCAATCAATTCCAAGGCCTAAGCCAGATTAGAAACCCAGAATAATCTGAATGAAGAGGAGGTGTGTTGCAATGAGTAAAAACTTGGAACACAAGTGCAAAATTATACTTTTAATGTTAGTCCCAACATCCTCTACAGAGACGTAAGGCCTATTACCTTGGTAACCACAACCTAGGAAAAATGAAATAACCAGAACTCTTTCTGGCTACACTACCACACTACAATAAACAACTATATATCTAAATGCTATATGAACACATTCAAAAGCTCAGAAATAATGCCAGGATTGTTGTGAAGTTGCATGAGCACATTGTTAACTGTACAGATTATTATCAAGTTACATATCAAAGGATTGATTCAATTTGTGCTCTGACCAACAAATATGATAGCTATGTTAATCCTTTTCCTATTCACCACTTGGTACAGGTATATTTAAGTGGCTGTCAATTTGATGGTTGTAATAATTGCCCATTGTGCTTTTAATCTGTGCTCCTGGTTATTTCAGATTGTAGAATCTTGGGGCAGGATTATATGCTGTGAATTGCTCATAGCATATGCCCATATGTCAGAAGAAGTAACTTTGGTAGAAATTCTTCTTATACTTTGGATATTAATCCTATCCTTGAATAAATAAAACAACATTTCAAGTAAAGAGTGCTCTGCAGTGCAATGTATTTCTTATTTTTGTTTGAATATAAGGGTTTTTTTTATTATTTATACTGGGGGAAAAATAAAATAAATAGAATTGTTTTAAATGTTCTCTCCACTATGCACACCCATACCCACATGCATACAACTTACTTCTAATTAAAGGTGAGGTCAGGTTGAGGAATAACAGCAACAACAAGAAAAAAAAAAAAAAACACTATCAAGGGTGAAGAGCACTGGGGAAAAAACAGAAAAATATTTTATTCCTTAAGCACAAGATGATTTGTTTTGAGCCAGCAAAATGTTTGTGATTGCCATCTAGACTACCTGTTAGTTTAAGAGTAATCCTTAAATTCTACTTACAAAAACAAATTTGGCAAAATCATGGGTTTTAGTTACTCTACAATATGAAGGAAGCACAAAATATCAGTCACTCTCCATTAATTTTTATTGTTCAGGGTTCTCCAGGGAAAAACAACCAAGTGACTTATTGTAAAAATTGGCTTATTGGTTATGGAGCCAAGAGAGTCCAGTGTTTGTCTGAGGCTGGAGAATCAGGAAATCAAAGGTATAATTCGGTTTGAACTAAGGACCTGGGGCTGAGGGTTGTTGGTTTAAGGCCAGACTGAGTCATTGAGCCTGAGAAACAATGATGGCCTGTAATATCCCAGACGAGGGAAGATGGACACCTCAGATCAAACAGAGGAATTTGTCCTTCTTCTAACCTTTTGTTTTGTTGGGGCCCTGAAAAGATTGGATGATGCCTACTCACACAAGGGATAAAAACTTCTTTGCAGAGCCTACTTACTGATTTAAAAGTAAATCTTTGCAAGAAACACCCTCAGAGAAAGACCTTGAAATGTTGTTATGGGTTTTTTTTTTTTTTTTTTGTACTAGGGATTGAATTCAGGGGTGCTCAACCCCTGAGCCACATCCCCAGCCCTATTTTGTGTTTTATTTAGAGAGGGTCTCACTGAGTTGCTAATTGTCTCACCATTGCGGAGGCTGGCTTTGAACTTGTGATCCTCCAGTCCCAGCCTCCTGAGCAGGTGAAATTACAGGCATACACCACTGCACCCAGCCCAGAAACAATGTTTTACTAGCTATCAGGGTAGACCTCAGGCAGTGGGTTGACACATAAAATCAACCACCACCTTGATTATATAAGAATTCCAAACTCATTTAAATTTGTTGACATGTTTATTTAACTAAAACAAAACATACAAAGAATTCCTGAAGTTATAAATGATGTCTGTCATTGTATTTTACAGACAATATTGCACCATCAATGTTGTATTGTCTTTTCATCACTGTGGAAAAACATTTTTTTAAAAGAGAGAGAGAGAATTTTAACATTTATTTTTTAGTTTTCAGTGGTCACAACATCTTTGTGTGTGGTGCTGAGGATCGAACCCGGGCCGCACGCATGCCAGGCGAGCGCGCTACCGCTTGAGCCACATCCCCAGCACGAACTGTGGAAAAACATTTGAAGACAGTAAACTAAAGGAAGAAAAATTGATTTCTGGCTCAGTGTTTCAGAAGTTTTAGTCCAAGTTTGGTTGACTATATTGCTTTTGGCTCTGAGGTAAGGCAGAATATCACAGCAGCAGGAGCTTTGGAGAAGAGATGGTTTAACTTATTGTAGCAATAAAAAATAATTTATAGTTTAAATAGAGGAAAAGGGGGAGGGAGATGTGGAGGCAGGAAGGTGCCTGGGACATAAAGAACCTTTCAAAACAGGACTCAACAACTCTACTCCTGAAGTTTTCCTCACCTCTCAATAGCACCGTAGTCAACACATGGATCTTTGTGGAACATTCCAGATCCAAACTATAATAAACATCAGCTCAAGGTACAGAGAAGTAGTTGATAACACAACTAAGATTAAAACTTTTTGTTGAGGTTTCTTGTTCTAGCAGTCAGAGGCTCAGTGTATGATTACTGAGGTTAGCACAGGAAATGGTTAAGAAAAAGTGCAGGATTGGACTGTCACAAAACAGAACAAAGAGCTCAAAGTTGAAATTGAAGTTAATGGATCTTCATGGGGGTCATCAGATCTTGGGGTGGTAGGGGCCAATGGGTGGCAAAGGAAAGATGCGGGTGGCTGCTATGATGGATGGGAGAGTGAAAGCAGCAATTAGAACAGTCCACCTCTTGTAGAAGTAGGGTATGGGCTCATGGTGTACCTACAAGTGACATACAGATACACCTTTTAAATCCTCACTAGATCTGAAAAAGCAGAGGAGCTCTAGGCTGAGTGACTAAGTCTGACTGACATGCTGGAGGCCTCTGGATTTGCAGTTCAGTCTTTGTTTGCTCTAAGGAGGAAGAGCAGGAAGTAGATTGGCAGAAGATCAGTAAGGATTGTCATTTCACTGAATCACATTTCCAGAAGCTTCTTGGGAGCATCTTTAACCTTCAGAAAAGAAACACGTTATTTCAACTCTCTGAAGAAATCCTACTTCAGTTCTTCTGCATGACCCCTCATCAGTCACTCCCCAATTCATAGCCATGCTCACCTTGGGTCATGTTTCCCTCCTCTATGACCCAAGGGTCCTGCAGCCTCTACCACCCTCCTCCCTTCTTTCTCACAGGCCAGAGTCAGCCCCAGCCCTGCTGTAGGCCTTGGTGTCTCAGGACTGCAGCTGCAATGACTGGATCTGCTCCCTGACTGGGAGCCTGCTCCTCCTCCAGATAGGAGGGGCCATAGGACCTGGGGGTGAAGAGAGTCCTGAACAAAGAAAGGAGCCTGGAACCTGGTTCCTGGGCCTTGGTTGCAGACAATATCTTTCTTCCCCCTTCTCCCTCAGCCTCTCCTTACCTGGGAGCAGCACAGCTCTCAAAGTGACTGGCCCTGCCTACTCCCTCCACTCTGGTTAAGTCAGCTGGAGCATCAGACTCCAGCAGCTGCTCAGCCCCTCTAGTCTCTGCCCTGACAGGGAGAATTTCTCAGAACTCAGGGCTGAGCAAGGCCAAGCTATTGCTACCAGTGAGAGGAGGGAGGCCTGATTCTTCCGTCTCATCTCAGAATGAGAAGGACCAGTCAGAGTGCAGACTGGGACCTTGGGAGTTCACTTTCCTGTCCTCATTGCTCACACAGCTGCCCCATGTCTCTCTCTCCATTCTGCCCACAGCACCTGTCAGGAAGATCTGGAGGCCTAGGTGGATGAAGCAGGTGAGGATCCAGAGCAGGGCCAAGGGAACAAGTGTGCTGGCTGCGGACTCCTGGAAGACTCTGTCTATGATGGCACTTGAAGGTCCTGAAGTGGAAACACAAGAGCGTTAGCCCTTGTTCAGAGCAAAATCTGTGGAGATGCCTGCTCAGCTCCTGCTGCCCCACGTCACTCAGGCAGGCACATAGTTCCTAGACCTCTGTGATGTGGCAGCTACTGTGACAGGTCATGAGGAGGAGGGAGACAGGAGAAGGGCCATGTCCTTAAGGAGCTCATATAGATAAAGGGAGAAGCCTGGGTGACATACAACTCATCCTTCCTGGTGGCAGAATACGAGGTGACCCATGAGGATGATGGTGGAGAAGAGTCTCAGGAACTGTCATGTGAAATGATTGATAAGAATTTCCAAAAAGAGATGAGCAAATGCCAGACCAAAGCATGTGCATTTAGGAAGAGGCATTAGGAGGTGAGAAGGAAAAAGATGGGAAGACTATACCTTTGATTGTTAACCTAGGTGTCTCTCTCTCTCTCTCTCTCTCTCTCTCTCACACACACACACACACACACACACACAGCAGCATCTCATGTGAAGGCAGCTCCCACTTCCTCCCCCGCCTGCCAGTTACCTGTTGGCTCCAGCTCTGGCTTCCATTGCACCAAGAACTTCTGAAGCCAGGTTCTACAGTCACCTATTGAGGACCTGTGTAAGAATTCTGTCACCTCCTTGTCATTTTCCCACATTTCTTTCATCCAGTTGGACCCAGAATGCATCTCTCTCCACCTTCTGTTGTCTGAGTCAAAGTGGAGCCACATTCGTCCATTGAAGCCAAACTGCCAGGAGCTGTCGGATTTATGCTGACAACACATCCTGCCCTCCAGGGTGTGCAGACCTGCCCCCATCAGAGAGAAATCAGCCTCTTTTCTTAACAAATCTTTTGTCCCACACAATACCAACTTCCCCGGTTTCCTAATCTGGCTGTGTTCTGTCTGCCAGTCCAGCCCTGTCTGGGCTTTATGGAGGGACCAACATCTAATTTTTTAAAAAACATGCACACAATCAATTTCCCTCAACCCAATATCAGGTCTCTCATGTCCCTGGACCATCCTCACTTACCCCTGCCCATGCCATTTTCTGCTTTAATGTCAGCCAGTTTCTGTTTTAGCATATCCCCCATTTCTCTCAGCATGGTGTTTTGCTCTTCCCAAGTGATTGTGGCGCTCACTTTCCCTCCCAGGGCACTCAAGGATTTGACCTTGTCCAGGCCACAGTCATAGGAGAGAAAATTCTTCTGGTCCACCTGGGCTTGGACTGTACACCATTGCTGTCCAGGTGCTGCCTTAGGATTGATGGTGAAGTCATAGCAGAGAGAGTGAGTGCCTGTGAGGGAAAAGGGCGAATAAGGGTTGGGCTGGTGAGAAAGGATCCTTTAGGCACCCTCTCCCCATCCCTCTGAAGGGCTGAGCTGGCAGAGCAAGAATGACCCTTCCCAAGCTCTCTGCTCTACCTGTTTCAGGTGGGCATGTTCCCCTTCTTTGAGGAGGAGGGGACAGCAACCTCATGTCCCAGGACATGGCCCACTTCCCCTCTGCCCTTTGAACAATGCCTACACCCAGCAGCACATCACCTTGCAATGGCGGTGCCAGGCCTGCTGTGAGGGGAAGGCCTGCCTGGCAGAGGATGATCAGAAGCAGGAGAAGGGAGTGCGCATGCTGGGTCATGGTGGGGCAGTGAGGATGGGATCACAGCTGCATGACGGAGAGTTCATAATTATGGTTCATAGCTTTTAGCTTGAGTGTTAGGAGATGGCACTAGTGCCTCAGGGAATTGCGTTCTTTTAGGTTGGAAAGTGATATCCTACCCTGAGTAAAATGGGAAATCTGTAAGTTCAAAGAAAAGTAGTAGAGGAAGAAATCAAAAGTACACACTTTGAGGATCATAAAAGGGTATATGCCATGTTGCATGTCATACAATAGCCAGAAAAATGCCTAGTCCACTGTGCTTTATAAGAAAGCCTGGCAGATTCTTGTTTATCAAGTGTATTTGAAAGTGTCTGGTACCTGAGCCAGACATGGTGGTGCACACCCATAATCCCAGTGGTTTAGGGAGGCTAAGTCAGGAGAATTGCAAGATTAAAGCCAGCCTCAGTAACTGTGAGGAACTAAGCAACTCAGTGAGTCCCTGACTCTAAATAAAATTCAAAATAGAGCTGGGTATGTGGCTCAGTGGTCGAGTGCCCCTGAATTCAATCCCTGGTACCCAATAAAAAAGAAAATATCTGGTACGCTAATCCAGAACCAAAATTAGTAGAAAGGAAGAAATAATAAGATCAGAGCAGAGCACAAATAAATGAATTAGACATGAAAAGTCAGCACAAACAATTAATGAAATAAGGAGCTGCTTCTTCCAAGAACTAAACAGAAGTGATAAACCCTTATCTGGACTAAGTAGGCAAAGGAGAGAGAAGACTCAAATTCAGACAAGAAAAGGGAGACATTGACTCCATAGAAATACAAAGGGTCATTTGAGATTATTAGGAACAAAGATATTCATGTTTGCTATTATTTGCAAAAATTTGGAACCTAGAATAAATAAACAAATTCCAGATCACTTACACATATATACCTTACCCAAGTTGAATCATGAAGAATTAAAAAAAAACAAAAAACTGAGCAGACCAATAAGACATAACAAGATTGAATCAGTAGTAATAGCCTTCCAGCAAAGAAAATCCCAATACAAGAGAGCTTTATTGCTAAATTCTGCCAAATATTTAAAGAAGAACAGTTTCTAGTTTTCCTTAATTTATTCCCAAAAATAGAAGACAAAGAAATTATTCTAACTACATTTGATAAGATCAGTATTGCCATGATATCAAAACCTGACAACACACAGAGAAATTAATCAAGTAAGTAGGATGCCATCAATTAAAAAGCATCTACACAGCAAGGGACACAGGAGCATAAACAAAAAGTCTGCACAATGAAAGAAATTCTTTGCCACAGTTTCTTTGACAGAAGATTAACATCCAGAATATATAAACACCTCAAAAAACTTATCACCCCAAACTCAAATAACTCAATCTGTAAATGGGCAAAAGAACTAAACAGATATTTCTCACAAAAAGAAACACAAATGCCAAAAAATATTTGAATAAAATGTTCAATATTTCTAGTATCAGAGAATTACATTGGAGAAATGCAAAATTACACCAAGATTTCATCTCATTCCACTCAGAAGGGCAATTATCAAAAATACAGATAATAATAACAAATACTAGTGAGGATGTGGAGAGAAAGATACACTCACACATTGTTGTTGGGACTGCAGATTAGTACAACCTCTCCAAAGAGCAGTACAGAGATTCCTCCAAAAACTAGAAATAGAACCTCCATACAACTCAGCTATCCCACTCCTTCATCTTTATTTAAAAGAACTAAAATCAGCATACTGTAGTGACACAACCACTTTAATGTTTATAGCAGCACAATTTACAATAGCCAAATTATGAAATCAGTCCAGATACCCATCAAGAGATGAATGAATCAAGAAAATGTGGTATATAGACACAATGAAGTTTTACCCAGCCATAAAGAATAACGAAATCATAGTATTTTCCAGTAAATGCATGAAAGTGGAAAACATCCTGCTAAGTGAAATAAGCCAGACTCAAGGGTCAAATATTTGTTTTCCATTATATTTGGAAGCTACAGAGAAATAAGGGAAAGAGGTGTTTGGGACAATCAGATATCATAACGATACAGGGAAGATCAGTGGAGTAGAAGGAGATAGGGAGGGGGAAGGACAGACAAGGTAGGAAATGCAGAATGAATTTAACAAAATGATGTTATGTGCATATGTAAATATACCATAGAGAACTTCCCCTTTATGTGTGTGTGGACAGCTTCAATCAAGGATGGCTAAATAATGAGTGAGGGGAAGTTCAATGGAAGGGGAAGAAGAACAGGTACTGGAATGGAGTGGGTCAGATTCCATGCATGTGTGGTTGTGTTGGGATGATCCAGCTATCATGAATAACTATAATGCTCCAATAAAAATAAAAAAGAAAGGATTTTGAAATTTGCAGAGATATATGTTCAAACTGCTTTGAACAGTATATAATGTACACATGTATCAAAACTTCACATGGCACCCCTTAATATGTGTAATTGTGATGTTTTTTATGTATCAGTTAATAACATAAAACAAGTCTGCTCACAAGGGCACCAGCACTGTCTAGAAGGTCACTGATGATGATTGCTAAAGGCTGGGGTCTATGGTGGAAGTTACAGTTCAGAACTGGGATTCTAAAAGTAAAGGGGAAGAAAAATACTGATAGACCCCAAATAGAGGCCATGAAAAGGTAGAAGGAAAATGTGTGCCATGATGCATACAGTCAGAAAGGGGCCTGATCCTCAGGGAGCTAAGCCTGGGGTTGGGCAGGCAACTCAGATTCTGCCTGATTTCAAGAAGTAAAGCAAAATCCAAGGATGGATGTTTAGAAGGCTGAAAGCTGACACCCACCAAAAGTCTGGTTGTTTGCTCAGTTTCCAGACCTCGGTCATGTCTCAGAGCATGAACTCATTCCTAGGAGGAGAGACCAGGATCCTATCAGGAGAGACCCTTCAATCTCAGAGTCAGTTCAGTGTCCCCTTTCAGATTATGCCACAGAGCCATCCCCCATTCATGTGGGTCTCTGTGCACAGAGAAAGAGAAAACATGCAGACATTCATCCTGGAGATGGTGTGCGCTGACCTCATATCCAGGCATCTGAAGCATCACCAGGGCCCCGTGGTATTGATAAAGGTACATATGGGGCCAGGAATGAATTGACCTATCCTACTTCCTGCTGAAATAGGAGTCATTTCAAATTCCCTGAATTTGTAATAGAAATGAACAATCATGGGCTTAGTGAGTCACTGGTTGGCGTTGGAGCTACCCTAGTAGGGAAAGCCAAGTACAATCTTCTGACACTGTCTCTCCCATTCCCCAGACACTGCTTTTAAAGTAAGATCTCATCCTAGAGAAAATATGGAGATTTGTGCCAACATAAAACCTTGAAGGACGCACGTGGGTCAACTCTATCCTCTCCTGTTATTCCCAGCCTGGGCCCTGGAATTTTCTGTAATATATTTTAGGCTTTATAGTCTTTGTTACAATCACTCAATTCTGTTCTTGTAGCACATAAGCAGCCATATTGACCTACATTTCTTTCTTTTTTCTTCTTATTTTTTTAAAAATTTTTTAGTTGTTGATGGACCTTTATTTCATTAATTTATATGTGGTGCTGAGACTCGAACCCAGTGCCTCACACATGCTAGGCAAGTGCTTTACCATTGAGCCACACCCCAACACTTGACCTACATTTCTACAAATTTTGCATGTTTCCCCCTCTCCTGTCCCTGCATATCCTTACTGGCTTTAATTGTAATTTGTAGCCTTGATACTTGCCATTGTAGTTGGAGATTAAATTTTAGTGTAGTTTTTCATGTATTTGTTGCCCATCTGTACTTCTTTAGAGAAATATGTTTAGTTTATTTGCCCTCTTATCGATTGGGTTAATTGTACAATTACTTTTAAAAATAAGATATTTGGGAAATTAGGAATGAAACTACCATATGATCCAGTTATCCTACTATTTGATATTTATCCAAAACAATTGAAGTCAGCATACTATATAGATAAAGGTATAGCCATGTTTATAGCTGCACAATTGACCATAACCAAGTTATAGACCCAGCCTAGTTGTCTGTCGACAAATAGGTAAAGTAAATGTATATTCACACAATGGAGTTTTATTCAGCCCTAAAGAAGAACAAAATTATATTGTTTGCAGAAAAATGGATGAAGCTGGAAAGGATCACGTTAAGTGAAATAAACCAGACTCAGAAAGTTAAGGGTCATATATTTTTTCTCATATGTGGAGGCCAAGGGGGGAAAATATGAAAATAGAAGGGAGACCACTAGTAGGGTAGATAAATAGGATCAAGGGGTAGGAGGAAGGAAGGAAAGGAGAGGTACTAGGAAATGAAATTGTTCAAATTATGTTATACATATGCACGTTCAATGAATATGTCATAATGAATTTCACTATTATTTTTAAATTTTATTTAATTTTTTTAGCCATGCTGGGGCTCAAACCCAGGGCTTTGAAAATGCTGGGCAAGCACTCTACCACCCAGCTTGCTCCCAGTCCTACTGTGTATAATTATAAGGCAGCAATTAAAAAAGAGAAAATAAACAAATATTTGTGAAGTATTTGCAATTCATTATAATTTTACATAGTAGTGAGATGTACATCATATTCAAACATACACATAGTCCAATCTGGTAGATTTTGTTGCCCAGTACTTACCAATACTCTCCCTTCATTCCTCCCTCTCCAGCCCCTTCCTTTACTCTATTGTTTTCTATTTCCCTCTATTTTCATGAGATCCTTCCTTTATTTTTAAATTCTATTTCTTTTTTAGCTATTTTCTAGGCAGAAAATAATCAACCTTTGACTTTCTCAGTCTGTCTTATTTCACTTAGCCTAATGTTCTCCAGTTCCATCCATTTAGCAGCAAATGATGTAATTTCATTCTTCTTTATGCCCCAATTAAACTCCATTGTGTAAATAGAGCACATTTTCTTTATCCACTCAATGTTGATGAGCACCTAGATTGGTTCCACAACTTAATTATTATGAATTGCACTGCTATAAACACTGGTATGCACATATCATCATAGTACCTTGTTTTGGGTTCTTTTGTGCCGCAGTCTGGCTGGGCACAAAATAACCGAGCCACCACAAAAGCCTTGTAGATTCAAACAGCAACTCTTTATTCCCGAACTCTCACCAGCACTCCACATGCATGTTCTGGGGAAAATACACCCCCTCCACCGGGCTCTGCGTACCAAATACTCTCAGAACTCTGCGAGAACTCCAGGGGAACTCAAGGAGCGGGCGCCTGAGGCAGCAGGATATGCCCTATTCCCAGCAGGATCTACCCTAAACCCGGATCCACCCTAAACCCGGAGCCACCCTAATCCCTGAGCAGGGTCACCTTTCAAACCAAAACTCTCAAACATTCATGCAATGTCACTGCAAATGACCTGGGTCCAAGGCAAGCCCATTTCCACAATGGAGAGTCCTCCCTCTAAGCAACATTGGGTAGGCTGATAAGGAAACTGCCATGCCTCATTCCTACTTGGCTATGGCTCTCAGCACTTTTGGATAAATACCAAGTAGTGGAATAGCTGGGTCAGTTCCATTCCTAGTCTTTTGAGGAATCGCCATATATCTTTCCAAAGTGGTTATACCAATTTGCAGTCCCATGAACAATGGATGAAAGTACCTTCCCCCACATCCTCATCAGAAATTGTTGACATTTGTAATTTTGGTGATTATTATTCTAACTGAGGTGAGATAAAGTCTCAATGCACTTTTATTTTGCACTTTCTTGATTGCTAATAATGTTAAACATTTTTCATATATTTGTTGGCCATTTGTGTTTCCTTTGAGAAATGTCTGTTCTTTGGCCCATTTGTTGATTGGGTTATTTATTTACTTATTTTTGGTGATAATTTCTTTTGACTTCTTTATATATTCTGGATAATAGTCTCGTCAGAGGAACAGCTGGCAAAGGTTTGCTCCCATCACGTCGGCTCTCTCTTCATGTTCTTAATTGTTGTCCTTGTTGTGCAGAAGCTTTTATTGATGGCATCACACTTATTCATTCTTGGTCTTATTTCCTGTACATTGGGTGTCTTCTGAAGGAAGTTGGTGCCTGCACCTATGTGCTGGAGTGTTGACCCTCTGTTTTCCTCTAGCAGTTTCAAGATTTCTGATTGTTTTGGCTATTCTGGTTCCTTTATACTTCCAGATGAATTTTATGACTGCTTTTTCCCCCCTGTAGTTTTGTGAAGGTTGTCATCCACATTTCAATGGGGATTGCATCAAATCTGTAGATCCCTTTTGATTAAATGGCCATCTTAACAATATTAATTCTGTCTATCCTTCTTCTACGGTATTCCTTGAACACAAGGTCAGGTGCATGCAGCCCTACCACTGAACTCCATCCCTGTTCCTATTGTGTGGAATTATAATACACCAATTAAAAAAGAAAAAAAAAACAAAGAAAAAAAATTTTTTTGCACTTGGCCCTTTTTCTTTATCAAAAATACAGACGCATTTCAGATGTACATTCTTGATAACAACTGAATAATTCTCTAGTAGAAGGATTTATCATACTTTTGTTAACTATTTGCCTAGTGATTGAAATCAGGATATTTCAAATGTAAGAAAATTATTTTTTGATATTTATAATTTTAATTAATTCCATATTTTTGTCGGTGCATTATAGTTGTCATTACGGGTGGCATTTTCGTACACGCACAATACAGCAACAGAATTTGGCCAATATAATTCCCCAGTGTTTCCTTTCTCTCCTCTCCTCCCTCCCCTGGTCTCTTTCCTCTTCTCTACTGATCTCCCTTTGATTTTCATGAGACACCTGTCTCCCACCCCCCGCCGCCTTCTTTTCCTTGAATAGGAAAATTCTAAAAAGTACATTATCACATGAACTTGGAAGGGACTGGACCTGCCACTATGACTCAGGACGACCTGTGATAGAGACATCTGTGCTGGGCAAAGGGGCCTCCTTCAGGGCAATTCCTCTCTGGAAACGCACAATGCAGCCCCTGGAGTGCAGAAATGCCACCCGCAGCGGGAAAACGCACAGCCTTTCACAGTGGCTCTTTCCCAGGGGGATCCAGGGCCCACGGAGAGAGAGGCTCCGCCCCCACTTCTGAGGGCGGAAGAGACGCCGGCGCTGTCACTCCTCCTCCCCTGTCACCTCGCTCCCGCGCATCCTCCAGCTCCCGCGGCTCCCACCACAGGCGCAGAGTCCAGAACCTGCCGCGGGGACGTGGACCGGCGGGACAGAGCCCGCAGGGAAAGTCTGGGGACTGAGGAAGTTCGATATGCAACTCACCTGCCCGCGACGCCAGAAGAAAGTTGGGCAGGAACTGAGCGAGGACGCAGAGAACGAGCGCCGCGCGGACCGCACCCTCCATGGCCTGGAGCTCTGGGCCCTGGAGACCCGCCTCCGGGCGCCAAGACTTAAAGCCTGAGGCCCCTCCCCTCCCGCGCCGGGCGCCCTCCTTTCCCTCTGCTGTCCCGGGCGGAGACACCTGCTGCCGGTGCTGGACGCCGCCAGGATCTATGCGACGGGGCGGGGCAGGACGAATCCCCAGCTCGTCCCCCCCCCCTCCTTGCCACCGGCTTCCGCCCTCCCTGCCGCACTCGCTGTGAGGCCCAGGCTGTTACCTGGATAAGGTGGACCCAAAGCAAAGGATCAAGTTGGAGACACCAGCCTCAGCGTCTTCCCTGCCTCCTCCGGGGACTTCTTGGGCCCAGGTGTTTAACCATCTGCATTCCCACCTTGGGTCTCATCCCTTCCATTCTGAAAAGACCAAAGAATTTCGGACCGTCTGAAATCAATGTGGTTGAAGGCAGTTGTTGGGTAGCCTGCCATCAAGGATAGTTTTGAGTAGATTTTGTGCCTCTGGAGCCTAAAACCTTCGGGAAAAACTCTCTGAAAGCAAAAGTGAAAGCAACTTCTCCTTTAGGAAAAGCTCCCACAGTCAGACAGGAAGTGCCCAGCAGCTCTACCGCCTGCATGAGACAGAAAGAATCTTTTTTTTTTTTTTTCCTAATACCTTTATTTTACTTACTTATTTTTATATGGTGCTGAGGATCGAACCCAGGGCCTTCCAAGTGCTGGGCTAGCACTCCACAGCTGAACTACAACCCCAGCCCCTCTATCATCCTTTTCTTTTGAGGTACTGAAGATTGAGTCCAGGGGTGCTCTTCCACGGAGCTACATCTTCTGCTCCTTTGGAAATTTTTCTTTTGGATAGCAGGTCGCTAAATCATCCAGGCCTCCTGCTTCAGCCTCCAGGGAGGTGGGAACACAGGCAAGTGCAGAAGCACTTGATGAGGATTAATGTCTTAAAGTTTCCTGTGGTCACATTCATTGTTATCTCCTCAGGATCCAATCATCTGAACATCCATCCAACCACCAGGTAAGCCCCATTTAAATAACTTCAAATACACACTTCAGCCCTGAGTGGGAATTAGTGAACTGATCACCTGAGCCTGAGGAGACTTCAGCTTCTTGATGAGTGGCCCCTGATCTGAGATCTCTTACACAGCCATTCACAGGTTCAGACACAGGAACTACACACAGGGCCCCATCTCATGGCCTGGGTATCAGGCCTGTGGCATCAGAGAAGGGAAAACTAATCTAAGAGGACTCTGGCTTCTTGATGAGTGGCCCCTGGTCTGAGATCTCTTATTCTGTCATTCAGAGGTTCAGACACAGGGCCCCATCCCATGGCCTGGGCCTCAGGTCTGTGGCATCAAAGAAGGGGAAAGTAACTACTGAGTTAGGAAAGCCCTGGTGAGGGATAGGCTTGTCTAAGTGCAGGGCACTTGCATAATCTCTTCCTTCACCTTCATTCCACCAGAGAGCACTAACTGACAGAAGTGGAAACTGATGCAGGAAAGTGTTTAAAAACAGGAATGCAACACCCCTCAGTCAAAATGTCATGACTTCTATTTCTGAAAGTCCAATCTCCAACTCACACTCTTTCAGCCAACTCTGAAGCTGATTCCATCTCCATATGGGATCTGCTTTGAGTTTGGCAGCCAGGAACTTCCTCCTGATCCACTTGCTCTACTCGACTAATCTCCCTACTGTTGTTGTTATTGTTTTAATTAGAATACTATATATGTAAGAGTTTAGCTGTTCAACATTTTGATTTGACCTTGTGAAATCCAAAGTGGAGACATCCATTGAACCAACTCAGATTTCTGACCTGTAGACTGTAAGATAATAAATGGGTTGATTTAAGCAGCTAGGTTTGGGGTAATTTGTCATTATTGAATATAAAACAAATAGCAACTCCTTCACATTTTAAGTGAGAATTTGACTAGATATAAAATTCTTTTCTTCAATACTTTAGAAATAATATTCCTTTGTCCTCATGTGACAGGACTCTATTGCTCTGCTTCTTCTTACTTGTTTTTCGGGGCCATCTGGGAAGGGAGCCAGAGGCTGTGGGTTTGTCACCTCTTCTGAGTCTACTTGGCTGCTGGTCATGGTCTCTTGGAGGTGGGGAGGTTTAATATCTTCCCCTACTTCTTCATAAGTGCACTCATAGATATGACAAATTAATGTTTGTATGTGATGTGGGTATCCATATTTCCTGAACCTTGCTCCCAGATATTTGTTTCCCTATTTCTCAAATACGTGGAAGAACAAGTCTACTTTGAAGTATTGTTGTGCAGCTCGATTAAAATAATGGATGCAGTAGTGTAAGTGTAGTGCCTGGCTCATGATTCCAGGAAGTAAACTGTAGATTTTTTTGTTATGAGTAGCAGAAGATCTAGGTGGTAAAACTAATGCATATCATCTTGACAAGTCACTTAATTTTCTTTGGGTCTTTTTTTTCTATTAAAATACATTTTATCTTAGTAATCTGGGCAAGACAAATTAAAACCACAAGGAGAAAACATTGAGACCCACTAGATTGGCAAAAACTGGACAGTATTAAGTACTGACAAAGTCTGTGCTGGAACAACACAGACTCATAAAATACAGAGGCAAATGCCACTAATTAATGGACCTTGGAAAACAATTTAGATTTTTTCAATAAAGGGGAAATGCACATACCTTACATCTTCAATTATACTCCTAGTTACCTGTGCTAGAGAAATTTCTATAGAGAAAAATATTCTATATATTTAAGGTCAATATCATATGCAGTGGTTATTCATCTTCGTTTTCCTTTATGTCTGATAAATGTTATATTCATTTGGTAAATAATTAAATTTTCATAATGAATTAAAACATACATCAAAAAGTTAAAAAAACAAATTTTGATTATCATATGTAATCAAAATCTTATTTGATTCAGAATTGAGACTATTTCCAGTTGACCTGAGGACTGGGAATAAAGCTCAGTGGCCCAGCACTGGCCTAGCATGTACCAGTACTATTGTTTGGATCTATAATTAACCCCCAAAGCCCCTGGGTTAAAGACTTGGCCCTAGTTTAGCAGTATTGGGACTTGGTGGAAACTCTAAGACATGTGTGTGTGTGTGTGTGTGTGTGTGTGTGTGTGTGTGTGTGTTGGGAGTGAGGTGTTGGAGGGGATTACACAGGGGTGCAATGAAATCTCCCAAACTGGGAGCCTTATATATTAATTGTCTTAATATTTTGTCTCAGTGATGGAAAGATGGAAAGCTGACTAACAGAGCCAGGGCACAGGTTTGATCCCCAGCACAAAACCCAAAAAGAAACAGAAAATCTGAGCTGCAATGCACAAGCAGACAGTTTCAATTATGTAGATTGACTTGTCTTGCTTCTCTCACTGACCAAGTGTGACCAAAGGGTGAAAGGCAAGAAAGTAACTGGTACTAATTCTTCTTTTTCAAGAGTCCCTATCTATGAGCTTATAGTAAAATGCTTTTCCTAAAATCATTTCTAGGTGGTTGTGGGAATTTGTAAATCTTTGATTACTGTATTTCCTACATCTTTGCCTATTAGCCAGCATTGTGGTTTAAAGATAATGAAATTTTGCTCTGGTTCCTCACACACTGTAAACTTTCAAAAAGACTAAAAGTAACAAATAAGAAATTAAATTTTACATTTAGAATATCTATTGGTAGTACCAATGCAAAAAACTTTAAAAACAGAAAATATTAAATTGAAAAATCTTGATCTTTGCATTTCATTTATTTTTACAGGTTTTTAAAATAATTTTTATTTTTTAAAAGTTAATTCTGCATTACAGGAAAAATAAAAACACAAGCAAAGAACAAAGTCAACCAGTCAGAAGCAGCTTAGTTGGACGTGTTGCTATAGGTTGTATATGCGCAATATCCCATTTTGTGTGATTGAGATCATGGTGTCATGCTTTTCCACACATCATGAGTATTCACAAATTTAAAATCCCAAAGCTACTTTTTTTTTGATAACCAAGTATTTTGATATCCTTTTTTTGATGAGTATTTTTTTTTGAAAACCAAGAATACACGACACTAACTCAATGTGTTATCCTTTCTTGAGGACAAAAATTCACTGAAGACAGAAATGGCAACAGGCCTCTAGATAGACATTTTGGCAATTACAACTAAAATAATTCATTCCCTTGATGCTCAATTTAAAATGAGACAGCAACAGAATAAACCAAGCTTGTTTTATTACCAAATTTCTACTATTCAAATATTAGCAGAATGCATGTTCCCTTTGAATTAAAGTATTCTTATAGTACAGTCAGAAGATGCACACACACCCATGGCTCACATCAAAATGTAAATCTTTGAGCACTTGCTCCCATCTTTTCCCGTGTGTTTCCCTGTGTCCCTCTGCTGCCAGCCTCATGAACAAGTCCTGATACACAATGCCCAGAGATAAAGCAATTCTATGTCCAAGATGCATCTCTTGTATCAATTATAACAAAAATATATTTACAAATTGGCTAATTCACTAGCACTACTTTTTAGGATTCACTGTCACCTCAGGACAGCTAGAAAGCCTAGATATTGTGAGTTGAAATATGAACTTTGTGCAAAATAAACACAACTTACCAAAAATGCACATACAGATCTTCCAGATATGGCGACACCAACAAAGAGCACTTCCCCTCACCCTTCCTTTTGTCCCTTCACCATTCCAATGACTAAATTCAGGACTATTCCTAGCCCCAAGAGGTGGATTAACAAGGGTCATTCCCAGAAGACAGTTCTTCCTAAGAACTAACAAAAGTATATTTATATAGGGATAATTTTGCTACTTCTAACAAACTTTGGGCATTAGGACTTATCCTTTAATACCCAGCAAGATTAACTAAAATGCACATATAAAATGGCTAGACAGTCTGAACTAATCTAAGGGGCACAGATTGCTTCTCTATGCATATTTTCTTCTTCCCCCACCCCCCACCCAGTGAACCTTCCCCCTACCCTCCAAGACATCATGTTCAGCAATTCCATTCCTCTAAATGGCAACCATTCCTATGTAGTAACAAAACCTACTTAAAGGGCATTACTTAGCTCTCTACTTTTACCATGTGTTGTGCACTTTTAAACATCTAGAAACACTAGATGTTTCCAACAAGGACTTAAGTTGCCAACTATACATACTGTAGCACTGAATAAATTGCAACAGTTACTTAACTAAGACTACACTTGAAAGCAAAACTCCTCCCCTTTTTTAAAGGCTAGAATTTGAAAGTGTCTCCCAAACAGTAACATTCTGGCCTAGAACCCTTCTCCTTTTAGTTTTATCACCCCATGGGTCAGATATATGCATCTGTAATGCTTAGAGATGACTTTAACAATTTACTTCCTAAGCGGTTTTAAGAAGAGTCTTTCCTATGAATTTAACACAACATGTACTCAATGTGTTACTTACTAACTCTACTTATGTCATACACTGGCAACCTCTTTAACATCTAGATAGACTAGATGTAAATTAGGACTCATTTGTCCTTTATATACACTATTTGCACAGAATAGTGAAACAAAACTTGCAAATATAAAGAGGCAATGGTTAATTTTGCTTCACAGAAAATATAAAACCCTTTATATTTTCTTTTCCTTCTTCCTCCCTGAACCAGCACAGATATATTATGCACTGCTCAGAGAAGTGTTTTGATCATTCCAAAAGGCGGTTATTTCCTCATGAATTTTAACAAAAAGGTATCTACAAAATGTTTTATTTACTACCTTTACTTTTAACATACTTTGTGCACTTCTAAACATCTAGAAAGACTAGATGTTTCAAATAAGGACTTAAGTTTGTCCACTATGTACATAGTAGTGTTGAGTAAGCTACACACACGCGACAATGGTTATACCTGAAAGTGTCTTCTAAGTAGGATCATTCTGACCTAGAATCCTTCATTTCTTCCACTTCTTTCTCCTCTGTCACATGTGTCACACCTGAGTGTCACATGATATGATGTGTTTCAATTTCACTTCTAAAAGTCCTTTTCAGAAGACTGCCTTTCTATGAATTTGAACACAAAGTGTACAAAATGTGTGAGTTCACTAACTCTATTTTTCTCATACATTGGCAACCTCATTTAATATCTAAAGACTAGATATTATAAAATTAAGACTCCTTTGTTTAATTTATATACAATATATATACAGTACAGCAAAGTTAAATGAAATGCATGTTACAGGGCAGTGGGTAAGCTGAAATTTTCTAGCATTCTAAGAAAACACTTTCTGTAACTTCTTCCCTCCTGCCTCCCTCAATCCAATGAACAAGTATAGACAGTGTTCTGTTAAGAGGTGGTTTAACAATCCAAACAGTATTTCTCATCAGTTTTTAAAAAGTATTTTCAAAAAGTTTCAGTTCTACTACTTCTACTTTTAAATATATCAAGCACTTCTAAATATACCGAAGGACTAGCTATTCCACATAAGAAACCTGTCCGCTATGCACACAGCACTGGTAAATAAAATTGGACACGTAGCAATGGTTATAATCTGAGGTATCTTCTTCTTTTTTTTTAAGTAGGCTAACTTTATTTTTTAATTTTTTGTAACAATTTTGAAACTTCATACATCAAACAATAAAGTTGTGAAACACATAATGTAAACACTCTTGGAAATTCAAAATTCTGATACAATCAAAATAAAAGTGCAGAACTTTGTAATCTCTTACAGAATCTGCAAGAATCGTGTAGCAAAAAAAGTATGGTTATAAATAATTTGAACATATGCTAAAATAAACATGTTGAATATAACAGCATTTATAAATTTTTTTCTTCTAATATGATCATTTTATCCTTGAACCTTTCCCTCCCCACTTCCTTCTATTTTCAGTCCAGTGAACAAGGACAGGAATATGTAACACTTAGAGATGGATGAACAAATTCATATCCAAAAGTCATTTACAGAGGATAAGCTTTTCTATGAATTTCAACTAAAAATGTACAAAACGTTCTAATTTTACTAACTACTTGGTCATACACTGGCAACCTCCGTAACATCCAGAGAGTAGATGTTGCAAAATTGGGACTCATTTGTCCATTATATACACTATATACATAGCAAAACAAAATGCACAGAAGATACAGAAAACTGATGTCTGAA